CAGGCATTTAAATGCCTGGGTAGCATATCTACCCTTCTGAATCATCACATTAAGCAAGCCATCATCATGGGTCTGTTGTATCACAAGAGCCTATAATTAGATCACATAGCTACTTCATGCCTCAGCTTTCCATCTTCATGGAAAGCCCCACTGTGATCATCTGCCGCATCCAGCTTGATGGATCCGCTTCCTCTGATTCTGCTCAAGGGGTGTGGAGATCCTTTCCATTTGCCCCATGCATGGAAATCAGTTTCCTCATCTGCAGAAGCACAAGCCTGAAAACTGGAGACAAACCCTCAAGCTTTGGAGCAGCAGTCCTACTGAAAGAAGGTTGAAAACATGAGCAGAGGTTCAGCTGTATCTAAGGAGGCCATTCATAAAATGGCTGGTTGCCATGCAGCAGGTTCCTGCCTGGGTTTTCCTGTTACAATCCATTTGACGATGCACCAAGCACCTTTAAGGTTAGGGGTTAACCTATCTGCAGTGCAATCCTACCATGATAGATCTAAAGGTCTACACCGTGTGGCTTACCATTCTGCTAAACTGTCCTCCCTCCACCACTGGTCTTATCCTGAACCTGGCTGTCCTGTGCAGTCCCTCTTTCACAGGTGGCTCGTCATTTGTCTCTGAGCACTAAGAGGTGTCATACTAGTGAGCAGTGTACCCTTGCTGTATTGTGAAGCTTCTCAATGTCATATCAATCAGAACATCACAGTTGCAACTACCATTGCATAAGAAGAATGGAACTTCATCATTAGCAGGTTCCCCTGCTCAGCATCACCAACATCCTCTTCTTCCTTTGGCAATTATGCTTATGCATCCACCACTTCATACCATGACTGGTTGTTTTCCAGCATTTCCTGTAAGCAGAAGCTGCTCTCTGGGTCTCACAGCAGGGGAAAGGAAAGTATTGCCGTCATTGCTATGCATTAACTTCATTTTGCTGAACTAAATGGTGATGTTCATGAAGCACATGGTAGTCAGATAACAGCAGTAAGCTGGGGAACATATGAGAATATATAATTGGCAAAACACAAGTTGCATTTCCAGTCTTTCAACTATCTACAAAAATATGTTTGGGGAAGAGAGATGTACAACTGTTCCTAGTACTCTGTAATGCTGCTTATAGCACAAACTGTAGTATTCCCTCACGCACTAGTGATTGAAAGCGGTCCTGCAGGTGGTTGCCTGTGAAAACCAGGTGTCCTCCCAGTCCAGCAGTAAAAACCACAGTGGCTCTGGAGGGCAATGCCAGATGAGATGGCAGTGAGCTGATAGTAACTAAGACCAGCTGGCCAGATCCTACTCAATAGAGAATAAAGAAGATGATATCTCCCGCAAGATCATCTTCCTTACGTTCTACATGCCCCGACCATGACATTAACATGAAAGCCTTTGAAGTGACACACATCATGCAGTTAGCAGCACTTCTGCCAGTTGAAGTTGCCACTTCAGCTTCAGTTCAAAAATTATGAAGCTGGTTGGCCTTGCCTGGGATGACAAGATGGCTGGGTCCTGCAGAGGTGTCTTTCAGGACAGTGTGCCAGGCATCCACAAGCCAAAGTTAGGGAGATGTGTGGATGCACCCAAAGATTAACATGGCTACTTTTCAGGAAACAATTATTTGTATTATTATTATTATTAATAATAATAATAATATTTATTATTATTATTATTAATAATAATAATAATATTTTGGTAGTTTTCACCAAATATGTGTCGGGAAAATCTCTTGATGAGGCTTTTCATATGCAATTGCTCAGCCTTCTTTTACCAGACATCCTTTTATGCTTTTCCACCATTTCAGTCTTTTGTTTTCTTTCCACAAAATAAACTGTGGTGGTGTCTGCAGGGAGGGGGGGTCAAAAAAGTCAAGATGGCAACCACAACCATGCAACTGAAGCCCTGCCCATTTTTATCTGCATCATCACCCTTTCTGGACAAACAGATAAACTACATGATAAACCAATCATCTGTTACAAATGAAAAAATGTGATGTCTTTGGATTTTGAGGAGCCATCCATATGGAAGTACCCTGGGGTAAAAGAGAAGATAGTTGCACGCATCATCACCCTTTCTGGACAAACAGATAAACTACATGATAAACCAATCATCTGTTACAAATGAAAAAATGTGATGTCTTTGGATTTTGAGGAGCCATCCATATGGAAGTACCCTGGGGTAAAAGAGAAGATAGTTGCACTACTTGTTCCAACTTACAGTGCCTAACTGGGTATTAAGATTGTACTCCGTGGAAATTGCTTCTGAGAGAGAGGGACAGAAGTGCTCATTGGGGAATTAGGACAATAACACCTTATTGGTTGGTCTGAGGTAAAAGCTGCACTTCATTCTCACATACACTGTCTTCATAAACTGTATTTACGGTATATATAACAATCGTAAACCGCTCAGTCTCCGGAAATGGAGCGGCCTATAAATTGTAGCAATGAGTAAGTACCTAAGTGCTTTCCTGTTCATTGCTGTGCACTCAGACTCATTAACCTGATCAGGCTTTACTTCTGAGGTGATTGCCTAGGATAGCGCTGTCTCCTTAAAGTCACCGAGATATAATTTTGAGAAACCGCACACAGGAACAGACCGATGTCCAAAACTTTCGAGCATCGCCATCTTACGTATAGATGGGATCGCAGTCTTACCGAGGAGTTTTGCTAATGCTGCAAACTGCAAATCTATTCTAAATCTATACATTTACTCGGGAGCAAGTGCTGCCCTGGAGTCTACTTCCGCACGAACACGCTCAGCCGTAGAACGTATGATTCACATTGCACAGGAAAAAGAAATCACTAACTTCCTTATACGCCGAAAAAACGGACTCATAACAATTTCGCACGGACTCCCGAAGAGACGACCGGCGCATGCGCGCCTGGGCACTCATCTAAACAAATTGAGCGACCCCGCCTCCGCCAGGACCCCTGCTATCCATCCAGCCGCGTCTCCCGAAGAGGGCGGAACTTGGAGAGCATTTGCGCATGCGGATTAGGTCGGGCTTTTGAGCTGGCGGTTGTCCCGTCGCAGGCTCCGGCTTTCTTCGGAGGGGGAGGCGGGGTTAGGCCTCCGGAGCGGCTTTCTCTCTCGTGTCCGGGGCCTGGGCGGGAATTCATCCTGCGACTCCCGGGCTGCCCCGGTTGGAGGGGGCGCTGGTAAGTGGCTCTCCTCCCCGCGGCTCCTTGCCCTTCCTCTGCCTGTCCACCTTTCTGCTTCCGTTAAAAAGTTCTGCCCCGCAGGCGAAGACCCTCCTCCGTTACCCATCGTGCTGGCTTAGCTCGCTCCCTCTCCGCGCCCCGGGCAGGTGGCCTGGCCGTATCCCGTAGAAAAGAGGGCGCCGGAGCCTCCGCTGCTTCACCCCCTTTCCCAGCCTTGCTCTCTTCGGTGGGTCGCACCTGGCTGCCTCCTCCCCCTTCCCTCCGCTCTCCTGCTTCCTTTGTCCACACCTGCGGTCTTTTGTTTCGTTTTCGCGGAACTTTTTAAGGAGGAACGCGTGTCCGACTCACTTCTTCGGGATTCATTCCCAAGTGTGGTTGCACGCGTGCCTGGTCGTAGGAGAGACCGCATCGAGGCTTTGATTTGGGAGATTTAGATGATCAGGGATGACTTTTTTATGACTGCTACAGTACGTGAACAGCGGCTGAGTAGCAGCTGCAGTAGTTCGGGAAACTTTCGGATGTAAAGTTAAGAAAAATATGTTAGTGATCTTTGAATATCCCTTTGAAGGCTCTTTGGTAGGGTCTTGTGTGTCGAACTGAGAAATTTCAATTGGGATACATTTATAAACAGTTGCATATCGTTTCTTGTAAAGAGTACTGTAGGTGGTTCCGTATTGGCTAATTATGCTAGCAGCATGGAAATAGGCACAGGAACTCCATTAAAACTGCTTGGAAATGGAGAGTGTCTTAAATATTGCCAGCTTTGCGACCAATCCTACTGTCTTTGCTTACATTAAGTCCTAGTAATTTGAATCATCTTTAAGATGGATTTAAAAAAAAACATATTGGCAGTATTTTAAAGGAAGTATGAAGGAGCTAAACATTATTCACTGACATAATACTGCATTTCTTTCTGCCTTGTTTATAACTCTGGTAGAAAAAGAGGAAGTCTAGTGTGTAAAATTATTTTGTAACAATGTGTGCTTCCAGTTTGGATTACTACTTGTTATTGTATTGCATTGCTGTATGTTCAGTGTGAAGTCTTTATTTAAAAAATGAAGTATGTAAAGAGCTTTCTTTCAAGATCTGTTTCTTATTTTTCTTCCCTTCTCCTCAAGTAATTATGGCAATGACGGGTCCAGCACCTTGTTCATCTATGAGTAACCATACTAAGGAGCGAGTTACAATGACAAAAGTGACATTAGAAAACTTCTACAGTAATCTGATTGCACAGCATGAAGAAAGAGAAATGAGGTAAAATCCTTGTTATGTGAATATGGGATAGTTTCTTAACTTAAAGATTAAAAACTTGAATGCCTTAAGTGCATTGATCTTTTATTATGCTAGACAATTTTTTGTAGTGTTTCTTTAAAATGCCCTAACAGTAAGAATTATTTCTTGACTACCCTACTAGCCTCTGCTTTATAAAAATGAGTGGAAAATTTTTCCTGGATTAAAAGTTGTTTTCCTCCCTTTAGCTTAACGTTTTCTTTCTTTTGATTTCAGGGTGTCCAGTATAAACATGTGTTACGAAATATGCTTGGCTTGATTGAGCATGATAATCAAAACCAGCCTTTCCAAGAACATTTGTAGTCTTTCCTGCAAATCATTCCTTTTAAATCATATATTTTTATTAAAATGCTTACTTTTTTTCTGCTCTGAGTAGTAAGGTCCTTAACAGCAGCTTTCTATATGTTTTATGTCATAAAATGCGTTCATTTAAGCCAGCATTCCACTACATACACATTTTTGTTTCATTTGCAGTATTTAATACATAATCAGTTTTCAGTTTAGAAATGATTACATAAACTAAATGAACAAGACCATAAAACAATTTTAAGAGTGCACTAAGAACAGTAGAGTAGCATAATATTAAACATTTATAGTAGTTGGGAAAATAAATATAAACCATGAAAAGCTCCATTTAGTGTCAATATGATATGGGATGTGATGTTGGTCACAGTTTCCTTCACTCTAAAAGTTGGGATGAAGACCCATGCAGGAAGTTCTTAATAGTCCCTAATAAGGGGGAAATTCTTAAGGGACGTGTGTGTTGAGCTACTTAAATCAGATGTGATTTTTTTTCTTTTATTAGAGGAGGAATAATATACTAGGTTTTCATGCTGTGAGAGGTGGTGGGAGTGCTGGGAAAGAGTGGAAGAGAGAGTAGTCATAAACAATCAAGATGCAGTGGATGAGCCAGTTGGTGGCTTATCTTACTGAAATCTATGTAGTTCTTGCTTCCTTGATCTTGCCCAGTTGTATGGGCTTGACATATATTCCTTCCTCCTACCTTATCCAAATTCTTCCTTCCTTCTAGGATTAGCTTTACAGTTTGCAAATCTATATCAGAACCAGTGTTATGTTCATAGTAATAATTTAAAAATTACACTGGATTCTAGAATCCATTTGTAAGCTTCATTAACATAATCAAGAAACTTGATAAAAACTTAAGGTTCTGTGTTTAAGAAACTGAATGTGGCATGCTGTTGATATAAATCAAGAGTTCTAGAATTCTTGTGAAATCTTATATAAGATCTATTTTTTTCTGTTTATATGTAAATTGAAGTATGTATTCCTACTGTATTTTCACCATGATTCATAAATCATAATAGGTAGCTATCAAGCCAGTAAAATAATCCAAAACAATATAAGCTCTCAGCAGACAACAGAGCATGGGAGAAATGCAAATGGGATTTTCCAAAGGTTTTCAAAAGTACATTTTGAAATGCTTTCCAAGAAACAAAAAGGAGGCAGTATTGATGTCTTACAAAAGTTCCAGGGTTTGCAGCTGTAACTAGGGGCTCATCACCTAATGGAAGCTGGCCCATTTGAGTGGAATTTGAAGTAGAACTTTCAAATTGAATATTGAATGACAGAGGTTTATCCTCAAGTTGATCCAAACATGTAAAAGACTTTCAAGATAGTAATAAAGTTTGCATGTTGTACAGCAGACACATATACACTCAGTTTTTCTGTAGAATTGAACTTTAATTCCTATTCAGAGATGTTTTTTTCTTTGTTAAGAACTTAAAATCTTTCAGCCCTAGCAGCTGTCTTTGGTTGAGCTTGAGAAAGTTAAATAGGATCATACCTGGTCGGTACTTAGAAGGGAGATCACCAGGAAATTCTAGGACAGTTAATTAGGATTTTTTTTTTTTAATCTCAGAAAAAGACAATGTCAAGGTTCTTCCATTATTATTGCCAAGAAAACAGCATGAATGTGTGCATCTAGTTATTGGAAGCTAAGCTAAGCTCAACTCAGAGGAGTTTTAGTAAAATGAGATGGCAGTAGAAGTATCTATGAAGTCATTGGGTGCATAAAATTGCTCTAAACTCTAGGATTTTCAGATTATTTTCTTAAAATTTAGACAGGCACTAATCTTTACGATGAAATACAAAAAAATCCAGATTTTGCTCAACTCTGCTGGATTCTGTTCTTTAAAATGACAAATTCCAAACTCTGTTGTATGTGTATTAATATGTACTGCATGTTTCTATGCCCCTCATGACATAATGCTTGTTTCATCTTAAATAGCTACATTTGCTATCTTTTATAGTAACTTTCAGAGGCAGAGCTTAGATTTACGTTGGAATAATATGAGTGCTTTTGAAAGACAGACATTCTGCATGAATACAGAGTGTACTATACATCATGTACAAAGTGACTGAATGCTCTCATTGGTTATATTATTCGTATAATCTTTCTAGATTGTTGCTCAGCATACTTGAAGACAATCTTGTATCAGCATACTGCATCATAATTCCATATGTCATATTGGCTAGAAGTTTTGAGAACTGCAGTCCCACACAAAACAAGTCTTTGCATCTTAGAACAACTGTAACTTTGCGAATACGATCTCAATAGCTACATGCCATGTGTATCAGTCAATGAAAAGAAAACAATTTCAGTATGCAGTAAGCAGAGATTCACATCCCTTCCCCCCATTCAGTCTTCATCAGTAGCAAAGAGGCACAAAATAATTAGTCATCTTTCTACATATTCCTAATGTACTTTATACATTACGTGTTTTCCATTTCTTCAGTTTTCTTAGGAAGAAATATTTAATGATTTCACCTCCACCTTGTTATCCTCAACTCTAAAAGAGACTGGCAAAGGTTGATCATAGAGACAATGAGTTAAAGATCTGTATCTGATGTCTGAGGTAGAATTTTCAGTGTAGGAAGTAGAGGTGATCAGGTTCTGTCAGCCCTTTGAGGTAGTTCAGACAAGAAGCACAAACCACGAATACTAACACTACCTTTATTGTAAGGTTACAGTAACAGAATCTTACAAGTCTGAAAGCATTCCTTATCACAATGAATTTTTACTGAAGTTCCAGGTACATAATTAAAAGACAGAAGCAAAAAAAATAGAGATACAACATTAAAAAGCATTCCTTATCTCCTTTACTTTTACTTTCCAGAAAACTAGGGAGGGTCCCTTCTGAGACGCTTCCCAGGCCCCTTTTGCTTCTGTGGACCGAGGTGCCTTTTGCGTGATGGTTGTCTAGACTGCAGCTCTCCCTCCTGTCTCCCAGAGACATTCCCACGTACCATTACAGGTTCTGGGTGCCTGTGTTATCTGGCTGCTACTTACTCACATCTCAACTTGAAAGTGGTATAGTGGTTAAAATGTTGTGTTAGGAGCAGAGGTCTTGTTCTAGTCCACATTCAGCCACAGAAGCTCAGTGGATGATTTTGGGCCAGTCAGTCTCTCTCAACCCACCTATATGGCAGGGCTGTGGGGAAATAGGTGGATGAAGCATTGTGTACACTGACTTGAAGTCCTGAAAGTAAGCTGGAATAGAACTCTAATAAAATATGTTCCCATAAGTTTTATAGTTGTGTCTTGAACCAAAAGAAACTCTAAGTTGGTTTTGTAATAATTTTTGAGTCTTTATAACTCCCTCTTTTTTTCCCCTGCTTCAGTTCAAATGGTTGTAGGTTGACTCTCTCTTAAAAGACAAGTATGTTTGTAAATAATACAACTTAGTTCAACTTTAAGTTACCTAGATGACATGAAAAGTAGTGTTCATCTTGTATTGCTAGTAGTCTGCAGTGAATGAAACCTTAACACCTGGTATATTTTCTATCTCTTTTTCTCTTTTTGTGTTTTAAAGCCAGTGATGAGTGAAGTAGCAATAAATCAGGCAGGCTAATAGGATAGCTCAGTGAAACACAATGTAGGATGTGGTTGCTGTGAAAGAGATAAAAACATGTTAGAGATAATTAGAAGTTGCAAGCTTCTTCTTAATAAATTTTGGTGTGGAAACTAACTATTTCTTTGTCTCATTCCTGAGGGAGATTCTATATTTCTGTAAATCTACACAGTTGTATCTAACACTTTAGGCAGAAATTGAAATGATATTTCCAGCCTCCCCTGTAATAGCAGTTATCTCTTCACCCACCCTTTCCTTCCTTTGCTGCTTATTGCTGCTATGGTGGTATTTCCTTGATAAGAAATCTCATTGTGGCACATAATGGAACAGAATACAAAGCCATGTTTCTACCGAAGGCCTCTTTCCACTGGAGAAGAAAATGTGAGGAACTTCTGCTGGTTTACTAGTTTCAAAGGGCCATGTTAGATCATATTAGCTTTGCATTCTGTGTAGGCTTTTGGAATTATTTTGTTTGAGTTGGCTGCTCCTTGTCTTAGCAATTAGATATGGTGTTACAGTTGTGATAATCTCTGATCACTTAGAGGTGGGGTTTCCAATAATCTTTTCAATTAGAAGATCAGTTATGGGGAAAAAGCTTTCCTAAAAGACAGATAGTACTGGACAATCTTTTTCTGCAGTGTGTAGCCATGCCATTTGTATGTCTTGAATTATGGAACAATACAGATTGTATGAAATAATTTCAAATATATTTAGCTGATATGTTTTGATTTAGAAAAAGGAAGAGCGGTAATTAGTTTAATTTGATTTTATCGTAGAACTGAAATTACTTTGGTTAGCATGATTCCGGATATGTAGCCAGAGAGGGCTATAATTTTCTTTGCTCTGTTTGTTGCTTTTGACTTTCTAGAGTGATTCCTGTGTGTTGAGAGCTGGAGGCACTGTATTACAATGGTTCTGCTCTTATTTTCAGAGCTGGTTTCTGAAAATAATTTCTGCCCTTTAGTAGTTATATTAAAGGAGCCTGCATAGATTCATCTTTCCCCTATGTAGTTCAGTATCTGTATGAAACCACTGGATGTGGTCAACAGCTGAAAAGGGACAAGGTACCATCATTATGTTGGTGATACCTAGCTCTGTCTCTCTTTTCCATCAAGATTAGGTGAAGCTGTACAGATGTTTGAAAGCATTAATAAGGCTCAATAAACTGAAAACCAACAAGGGGGAGGGCGTACTGTGGATTAATTGTTCCTAGATCTAGGAATTAGGGAAGTAAGTCTGTTCAGGTGGAGGCCACACTTACTCTTAAGGTATTCCTTCACTCTACACTGACATTGGAGGCTAGTGACTGTAGCAGTATAGAATCTCTGCTATACCTATTTTGTATAGTATACCTATTTTGTCTAGTTTATTAGGTCTGACCACCCTCAGTATAAATAGCATGAGCACAATAGTCTGTGTTTCGGTAACCTGCTAATTAGATCATTTTAAAGTGCTCTAAATAGGGTATACTTGAAATAATCCATAGATTATAAATACTGTACCACAGGATGCAGATATGAAATTACTGTGGCCTGTAATAAATCCACATAATTTTAGTCTGTAGAGAAAGAGCAGAACTGGATGCCAATTTATTACCAATCCCAGTTCAAAATATTAATGTTAACACACATAACTCTGATTTCTTAAATGTATATCCTTATCTGTATTCTTTTATCTATCATTGTTTATTTAGTGGCAATGCAAATTTGTTCATACCATTATTAAATGAAGCCAAGATTTCTGGAATTTATTGCAGTACCTTCCTGGGGTGGTACTTTGGCTCTGGAACATACTTTCACTGGAAATTAGATTGGCTGGTTTTCAGTACCAGATGAAAACAATTTTATACGAGTTGTTTTGATTAATAATAGGCTCTATATACTGGAAAATGATGGAAGTAAGCCCCCCCCCTTTTTTTTTTGCACCAAGCAGTGTTTATTTTTTGCACCAAGCAGGGTTTTTAAAATGGTTTGTATCTCCACTGAGATCATTTTTAGGATAGGAAAGAACTACCTTGCTTTTTATAGAAAGGAAAGTAATAATACGAGAAGTTTGGATGCTATTTCAAATTATATTGCTATTTCACTTTTGTTTTGTCATACTTATGTTTATCTTTATAAATAGAGAATTAATGTGGAAGTATAGGGCATCTGCTTTTCACATTGCAGGATTCACTCTTGTATGGTAAAATTATTTTGTGCACTGAGGATCAGATATTAGATAGGTTTGATGAGGTTTGATAGGAAGTCTCTGTACTTTTTCCCAGTTACCTCAATTATTTATTTATTTATTTATTAAACTTGTCCCCGCCCGTCTCCCCCCAATGGGGGACTCTGGGCGGCTTACAACATATTAAAACAATAAATAAGGATACAGTTAAAATTTATAAGAGGACATATTTACAAAGAATAAAGGGAAAAGGAAAAATCTAGGAGGCCGATGGAAGCAACACCAGGCCTCTAGGGGGCTAGCCAACCCCATATCTGATTACCTCCCTCCCCACCCCAGGCCAGATGGCAGAACCAGGTCTTCAAGTCCCTCCGAAAGGCCGGTAGTGAGGAGGCCTGTCTCACCTCTGGAGGCAAGATATTCCAAAGGGCGGGGACTACAGCAGAGAAGGCCCGCCTTCTGGACCCAGCTAGTCAGAATTCTTTTGCCAAGCGGGTCCGGAGCATGCCCTCTCTGTGTGATCGGGTGGGACGGGTTGAAATCGTGGGGGAGAGGCGGGCCCTTAGGTTACCTGGCCCCAAGTCATGTAGGGCTTTTAAGGTGGTAAGCAACAACTTGGAATGGAAC